CTCCTCGCGGTGGGACGTTAGTTAGATAAATAGGAATGGGAAAATAATTACAGGATATATTTTTTTCCTTTGAAATTGCATGCGAGGGATCCGTTGTGTCGGGGTCGGGAAGGATTTAGGTTAACCGCCTCGCTCGTTTGCCTTTAATTCTGGCTGAAAGGGGCGAGCATCGGGCTCGTGGGAGGGGATAATGTGTGTTGTAGTTTGCGCGGGTGAAGGGCAACTTGGGTGGGGATTTGCTTCCATACCACTTGCCTTTTAAATCGGATGGCTTATTATATATAATATAATAATAATGCCAATATCAGGGGTTTTCAGTTCAGTTGTATAGAATGCGAAGGTTGTGTGTGCTTTATTTTTATAGTTATAATTACGTGCGCTGAAGGTGGCATATAATTTCCTTGTACGAGGTGCAAGGCCAATAAAGTAAACTGAACTGAACTGAAGCCACGTGTTGCATGGCAAATCCGAATCACTGAAGTTCTGGGAATTCTGGGTTGAGAGGGATCCCTGGGGGTCGGAGCAAAGCCCGGCCCTCAGTTGGCTTCTGATGGTTATATAGAAGAATTCTCCTGAAGCAACGTTTTTGTGGCCTTTTTGATACAGCTACTAAAGTGGCCCTTTACCTTATGGTAAAACGTGGGAACTAAAAATACAATAGGTAATGTGATTTACATCTGATTTAAGGAGATGCCTCTCAAACCTCTAGCTGTTGTTTGAGCTTTAGACATGGACCGTTTTACTCTTGGGTGATAAAAAGGAATCGCTGTTTTGCTTTTTTAAAAGAATTAATACATATGCAATGTTTGGAACATGGAGTCCCAAAATTTGAGGTAAGACTTGCTGTTTTTCCCCTGGAGATTCCTTTCCATGTATTAGTTTGTACATTGAATCAGATTTCTTCATATTTGCATAAGTTGGTGGTTCCACAATTGAGTTGGTGGTTTTATGGATTCTTATGCTTATGATATTTTAATATAAGCCACCTGGAGGTACTGTGTTGGGCAGCCATATAAATTTGTTTAGTACATTAATAAAGGATAATTAAAACATTGATAAAATATTTTGATTCCAGTGAATCTGTTCTTAAATATAACTAAGAATGCATACAACTTGTCATGGTTATGTATAATTTCTATGAATTGATACTGTTAAGCCTGGATTCCCCAACGGGTGTTAAGGAAAACAAACTAAACAGAATGTGCAGCGAAGTCAGATAGGAAGACGGGTAAATGTGTGAGATAAGCCTTCTCGTTAACACGCAGTAAAAATACAGATACGCTTGTGCTATCAAAAATTATAATTTATTCCATTTAAGAATTATAGCATAGTCATAATAAACAGTCCATTAGTCAAATACCAAATTCAGTCAAGTCTTGTCGAGGATACTCTAATTGCAAAGTCCGTGTAGAATAGCCAGTGTCAGTACACATATAATAAATCTGTCCAAAACTTATCTTCTCTCCGTTGAGAAATATCTTCAAAGTAATCCAACACTTCTTCTCCCCGATCCAGCAAGAATGCAGTATTCAATAAGCCAGCCAGTAAGAGCCAGAGAGTGCCTTGCTGCTTATATAGTACTTCTACAGCTGCACCCTTAATTACATTCCTTTAGCTTAAAGTCACATACACTATCTGACAAACCATGATTCATCATTTTATTATCTTTACCCAAAACAGTTAGGGTAAAACAATGTTATCCCTAACAGATACTATTCATAAAAGATTCAGAATTCTGCCACAAAATTATTAACAATTAGGTTTATATACAGTACTGCTTCCTTCCCAGTGATTCTGGCAGTTTACAAACTTTAAAACATTTAAAAATGCAAAACAAAGCAAAAAAAAAAAAAAAAAGGTGGCAGAGAAAACAAACCTGGATGGGGATCATGGAAAATGCAAAATGGTGTAAATCATCTCTTGCCAAAGGGCTGGGCAAAGAGACACATCTTTGGAGAACCTTCAGAGCAGCAGTAGTAGGCTGTTGGAATCTCAGGAGGGGCACTATTACAGAGAAGATGTGCTCCCAGAGTCCTGGTAAAAGTGGTATTTAATTGAAGGAATCTGGAGCACACCGCCAGATTATACTATGTGCATAAAAAAAATATAATTTACTTTTGAAATGCCAGGCTAATATGTTTGCATATCTGCAACATGGATGTTCAGACTTATCTTTTGCCAGTTTTTCTGTGGTGTTCAATGATTAAAATACTTTTGCTGTTCACATCATGATTTGCTGTGATTATTACTCACATTGATGAGGACACCATATTTTGTTTCATTTCAGTTTTGGGTAAAGTATATTTCGACCTATAGATGTAAATATAATTTATACTATTCAATGTATTCACAGTGCTTTTTTTCATGCTTTCAGGAAACAAATTTCTCTTGGAGGATAACCAGGTAACCATTAAAATATTTTGCAATACTGTATTAGTAGAGAATAAAACAATTGATCCAATGGGGGTAATGTTAAACTAGGTCACTATGTTGAGCAAACCATATATTTTAATGGGGGTCTGTAAAGGTGGGATTCATATACTATTCACTAAATTCAAGCTTAATAGCTTTGGTTTGTTAGCTGCAACTAAACCAGTGAATTGCTGGCTTTTTGGGGTGGGGTTTAGCAACTAAATAAACAAAACAATACTGCAAGAACTCATAAACCTTCTGAATACATATCAGATTGATCACACAGATGCAAAAATTTTGTGGGAAATCAACTATTATTAAGATGTTGTATATGGTTGTATCACCCATAGAAAATTTTGTGTAGTATTTGCATGTACTGCTATTCTGTATTTTGTGACAATCTACTGTATAACTTTTGACAGGTCTCACATAGGGATCTTTAATGATTAAAATGTTACATAAAATGGGATCGTTTTCTAAATTTATTGTCCCTTACCACAAAATATTAAATTATACCTTTATTTTTAAAAAACACCTGTGTGTCAACATTAAAAATACAACTTAGAGAAGATTAGTGTGCAATCAAGTCTCATGCTTTTCAAAAACTGTTTACATGTGAAATCTTTTTTTTTTTTGTTCCTTTAGGTATGTTTTTAAAAGGCCAAACATTTCATGTTGTGGATTCTTCATCAATGTTGCAGAAAACTCAACTTTCATCTGATTTTTCCATCTGTTTTTTAAAACTTAACTCCCTTTAATGGATCAGATTTCCAAGAGAAAATGGGGAGATGAAGTTCAAGGTTTGTCAAAAGTATAGAAGTCAACGTCTTGTATTTTACTGATTTTATTTATAATAAAGAAATACCTTAATGTTGCCTTACGTGTTTTGATTTCTATACTGTATTATTAGAGGGGATGCTGAATTCATAAGCATTGTAATAGTGCTTACAATACTTTGTACAATACTC